TCACACTCACACACACTCACACACACACACACACACACACACACACACCCAAAGAGAACAGCACCTTCACCTGTGCTGCCATTCTGCGCTTTACCACGTTCCTCTGAAGTCCCAACCTTAAGGAATGAGTTTAAAGTCATTCACACTATGAGCATTACAGCAAACATCTGCACCTTTTTTTAATTAATTAAATTTTTTTTTTATTATTATTAATTTGTGGACAAATAGCAAAAAATGAAATGAAATGAAATGAAATAATAAAAACAGACAATGAAGCCACAATTAAAAATGTTTAAAATTGTCAGTATAAATGTATCAAATGTTAATGGCCTCTGGTTTGATATTTATATACATTATGCATTAGATTACACAATAACCAAGCCAGAAAAAAAATGGGACCACTAGATAACAATTCATTTAAAGATAGTTCAGGAAAGTGAAGTAAAAGAAAAATGCAAAACTTAAAGTGCTTGTTTAATATTTTCTAATACAATGACATTTACACATTTGTAAGTGTCATTTAAGTTTCCATATACTTTTACATTGCAATATTGCATTAGGTGTTTGTAATCTACACCCAATGAGCATGTATCCTCACTGTTCAGGTTGGCTTGTTCATGAAGCTGACTGGTTAATTAATTTAGTCTCCACTTTATCTATCTATCACACATAACTATCATTATAAACATATAAATAATATTATATTTAGTTAAGTATATTATCACTATTATTTATAATTTTCATCCCACAGTCTTTTCTCACCCTGATCTGAGTGCCTAAGTTTTCTTCTGCATCAGTGATAATGTAATCGTAGGGCATTTGGAATAGGCTAGGTCTGCATTAAGTGTTTATGAAGAAAGATGTGTGTTTGATACAAACGCTGTAATTAAAATGTATGAGGTCACAACAAAGAAGAAGCTCACGCTACATATCAAAAGTTCAAATAATACAGAAACACTCAAGTGAACTTGATAACTACTTGCAATCAAAAAATCACGAAAAAGACCAAAAATACTAAATTTAACACATGCATTAAGCAATTTTTTCAGGTCTGGTCTTTTTTAAGATTATGTATTGTAGAGCATATAGAGTTGCATTGATTATTACTTTATGTAATTTAAAAGCCACAATAATCAGCAAAATAACTGACTGAAAGGACTTTGGAATTGAAAGCATATGAAGAAAAAAAATACTTACTCTAGTGAAAATGAAGATGACTTAGTCGTTCGCACAGACACCAGTCACCCTGGAGCTTTAATATGTTCAGCAGAGTATCACTGTTTCCAGACGAGATGTCTTTTCCATTAGAGAAATAAAAAACGAGGCATTCGGTGAGAGGGGGCAGAGAAAAGGAAATTGGCACCTTAAAAGGACACGCTGTTTTTCTCAAGCCCACCCTCCTCTCCGCTCTGCACTCAAGGTTTCTGGTTCGGCTCTGTTAAAGCAAAGCCTTATTTGGGAAGAGGCTTGGATGAGGACAGCAACCAAGCCAAGAGTCTGTAGTTTGGTCAGAGAGCAGAATTCTCCAAATACCACACCACTGCATCAGCTGGCAGAAAGAGGAAGGCTGTGTGGACGCCTGCCGGAAGCTCGAGTGGAGCTGGGAACCAGCAGAGGGCTTTGCGTTTAGACAGGGACATACATGGAATAGTTTGACAGATGGAGTGTATAGATTAGATGAATACACATCAGAGACGCAGAGCACGGAAGAAATCAAGCCTGTCAGCGGTGCGGTATAGAAGGCATGTGTGTTGGGATGTCGATGCAGAAGCACTGAGGAATGCTGAAGCAACATGATTTACTGACACTTCGGAAGCAACCGCTAACAAGGCCTTCTATGTACAAAATACTCCCCAGCGTGCGTTCAGTACTACGTTATCTAATGTTGAAAGCATGCAATGCTATACTATATTTTGGTCACGATTTATTTTAAGGTCCAATTCTATGAACTAACTGTTAACTACGTCTTTTGCCTCGATAAACTCCTAATGTGCTGCTTATTAATAGTTAGTAAGGTAGTTGTTAATATGAGGTTTAGGATTTAGGATTAATATGTGCTTTATGAGTACTAATAAACAGCCAATATGATAGTAATATGCATGCTAGTTAGTAGTGAGAATTGGTCCTTAAAATAAAACGTGTATTTTTTTACTGACATTTCAAGGGATTAATTTACAATGTAAACTAAATCTTATATTCACCGTAAAATGTATGCATCTTTATAAGGATTGATTTTGTTGAAAAAAACGTTTTCCTTCATAGCAGATTAATGCCATTATATTAGGGTCACAGTAAAACTCTTGGAGACGTCTGACCATAACTTACTCTATTATATTTGTACCTTTTCAAATGACCTTTATGTATACATACTGTATTATTGCTTTATCCTTGTTTTTGAAGACCCAGACTTTCATAAATATAAACATTCAACATAAAATGAACTATTCTACATTTAAAACTATGATTGTTTAAACAAAAGGGTGAAATAATCACAAACCAT